CAATATTTGCTGCAGAAAAATTTCCATTTGAAATGTTTTGTAGGTTGTGAAAACAATAGAGCCCTCGCCTCGCCTGCCACACTGGTGCCGCAGTGCCGCAGCGCTTGATGAGTACTGCGGCAACGTAGTTGGGGCTGCCACTTAATGTGTTTTGCATACTAATTAGGTTGTTTGGCGGCTTCCCTCACAGTTTCAAGTGTAGTAACAGGTGACGACAAAAAATAAACACAGTGCAAATAGCGGGAACAACAGAAGGTGCCACAGCCTCAGCCTCCAAAGAACGAGGAGCACCAACTGCACTTGAAGCTAACACTTTTGAGCGCCTCCTGCAGTCGAGAAGTTGTAGTTGCCAATTGCTGAGCGTCGGCTTGAGGAGGCTATGGAATGCCCTACTAGGATAGGGAGATTCTTCTAATTTGCGGAGAAGAGAAAGTATTTAGGCAGGGCGGATATGAGAAGATTGATGTTCTCAAAGGCAAAACTGGGGTCAGAACTTTATTGGTTAAATGCATAAAGGTTTATAGACAATAAGACTATAAAAAACCAAGATAGTGCAACAGGAACCAATTTCACATCAATATTCGTTCGGTTCCAGCGTTTCGTTCGGTCCCCATAATTCAATAGCAAAATAAACAGTTTTTGGCGACGTACACTAGTTCGGTCCCATGAAACCAAAAACAAATAAATTGCTTGGACACGTGTCGCAAAGATAACACATAGTTTCCTATAAGTAGAGATAGGCTTTCAAGAATGCACGCCTCCTTCTTATCAGCTGGATTTAAATAATAGCTTTTTACAATAGTCAATGAAAAATTGATTATCAATGAACTTAATAAGTCGCGCAATAGCCTCCGAGCAATCAAAGTACTCGAGGTTTTGTTTACCTAAGGTTTTGATAGAGCCTATCAAATAGAAGTTTACTACGCTTCGATTAAGATTCGTAGGTGGTAACCAAGTTAACACGAGTATTTAAAAGATAAGTATACCATGGACGGACTTGAGATTAAATTGGAATTTGAATATTTCTTGCCTTTATTTGGTTTACAAAAGAATTGTAGATAAAGTTTTTTGAATAGCAAGAATTGATTACAATTTTGAAAAAAAATCGCTGGGAAAAAGAAGAAAATGTTCTTCCAAATAAAAATAACAAAAATTAAATAAATCTATTATAGAATTGGTATTAATTCCAAAGAAGGGGATCTCTGCTGTCTGATATGCCCCAATTTGATATGACATGCTGGCTTTCTATGAAAGTGCTGCTAAAACTTGTAAGCCGCGAATTACGCGAAAAGCTAAACCAAAAAAAATATTAGGCCGCAAAGTGAAAAAATGTTTTAATTACACATTCCAAGGCGAATCTTCACCGAAATCCCCCTCTAACGATTGACAGCGTTTTGAAAGGGCTACGAAAAGAGAGGTCAAGATGAGAGATAAAGTCAGGAAAATTATTTAAGTTTGGATGCTGGCAAAATCCTGCGAAAAATGCTCGAAAAATTCTGAATATATTCTATGTATATATATGTATATGTATTACAAGGTGTGTGTATCTCCACGATTGGGGCTCCATCCAAGGATGCTTCGACAAAGGTCCTTTTGAGCAATTGTTGTTGCAACACTCGAATGCATTCATTCTGCTGCCGCGTTGTGTGCTAAATAGTTCCCCCAGGGCCGAATCCACTTGAGTCGTGTGCTAATGAGAACATCCAGCGACAAGCGACACGACAGCCAAAGGAAAAGAGAACCAGACACCCACCAAAGGGGCTCACACTAGGAGGAGGGCAAGGGGGGGTCGACTGCATTATGCAAATACAAGGCGAAACAATTTTTCTACTGCATCGCCAAAGTGGAGTGGAGTGGCTTGACGGACTGCTGTGGAGTGCAGGAGTGGGAGTGGGGAATCCTTAGCCAAAGCCTGGGGCAATGCAGCGTGTTCCATTTGCACACATTTCGACAAGGCAATTAATTATGCTAAATTCGTTTAGAGAACAGCTCCACGGCTACAATAGGCAAGGCGATGTCCTCAGGCGCATTGTTCCAAGTACATTCTTCAATTTTCCCTCATTAAAGAGGACTTCTGGAAGAACTTGAATGAAAACTTGTTTCAATATGTTTTAGGATTAATAAATTAGAAAAGTTTCAGATTCATAGATTTATATTTTAATTTATATTATATTAAATTTCATAATTCATTTAAGAACTTTCAGATGGGTGTATATATTTTTAAATTGTGCTCTCCTCACCTTCTTAGTCATTCCTTCACTTGAGCCATCATCCCTGAAAATGGTTATGACCGGCACAACCTTTGACCAGCGCATTGGATGACTTTTAAGTGGTTCTCGGAGGCTGGCTGGGCGTTTCTAGTCCCTAAGCACAGGGGGCACAGGTCTGACATTTGCACTGGACCATGCGCAATTAATTGCAAAAGTGTTTGCGGACAAATGGCGCATAACCAGGACCAGGACCAACACGTGTGGGTGCCCTCTGGACCCAAAAGCTGGACATGGTCATGGGAGGACGACAGGGCATTTCTTTTTGCCAGCTCGGATGCCAGCATGGATGTGCTTCAAGTAGCACAGAGAGAGAGAGACGGGGCAGCTCTTTGCTTTGAGGTTATTTACTTTTAATGACTCGCAAACTACACACACACGCACACACACACTTGCACATATTCTTACGAGTGGGTGCCACATAGCGTATGCGTCATGTGTCGTGTTCTGTGGAGTGCTTAAGTGTTTTCAGATATCGCGCATCAGTAGCCAACGTCAGGCATCCAGGCACAGAGTACCATGCTACATGCCCCTATGCCACATGCTACATGCCCCATGGTTTGTTGACTTTTAGACGCTGTTTGTTTGTCAGCAGAATTTTTGTTGTTTTTTCATATACATTTTATGCCCGGTAGACGCGTAGACAACAGAAGGTATATTGGATTTGTGAATGGGTATGCGACGTGCAGACAGGACAGTCTATGAAGTCATTGAATACATGTCATTTGACAGCTTAAAATTTTCTTGAACTTTCGATCCATATATACCATAAAAATACATTGCACACAAAGGGAATAAAACAATTATCCATCAATGCAAATTTCTTATTTATTTTGTAAGCTAGGCCATAGTTTTGGGAATATAAATAGTATTAATATTATATTTTATTTTATTTTGATCATTTTCTTTATTTTTATTGCCCATTTCCCTGACAGCTAAAAATTAAAAAAAAAATAATAATGTGTTCCACTTTATTTTAATGCGGTCAAGACCATTGCTCAATCGCTTCAGTCGTCCACCATTCCCCGGCTCACTTACGACAAAAAATGTGTTTATATAATAGTGAGATATTTAAAGTTTATTAATCTAATTAAAACAGTGTTATTTATTTATTTATTTTTGTGGATGTGTTAAATTTTATCCCAATCGCGTTTTTATCCGAACATCTATTCTGAATTGAACATTTTCTAGTTTATCCATTATTCTAAATACAGAATATATGAAAATACTTCAAAAAAGTATTCACATAAATAATTGTACATAATTATCCATCCAACCACCACTAATCTACGTTTCCAAATAATTACTTTAGGCAGAATAATTTTTTTTATTATTTCTATCCGTTTCCATCAAATAATTCAACTATTAGGTATCTTATAGTCGGGAATACTGACAATGCCGCTCATCCTGGGTGTGTTTGTTGTTGTACTTTTTGGCTTTTCATCTTGGCATCAGAGCTCTGTGGCTCTGCGGCTGAGCGGCTCAGACAAACGGCCAGGCCGAGCCGGGCCCACATAAATGAGCTTTGAAGTTTGCATACGAAAGGAGAGTGCATGGAATGCATTCGCCCTGTCGATGGGGATAAGGGGACGGATGGATGGATAATGCGGTGCAATTATAGACAGAGCCCAGAGCCGCCCGCCCCCGCCATATCCTTGAAAATAAATTGTTTTGTTAATTATTTATGGTTGGTTTAATGAGTGTATGCCGTAGTACTCTCTGTGTGTTTACTGTACTCGCTCTTTCTGCCTCTCTCTCTCCGTCTGTCGACATATTCATGGGTTTGTTATACTTTTGCATTTTGCAATTATTTTAATGAGTTTTGCATTTAAGCGATTTTGTGCAATCATCGCATCGTTTGCAATACTACATAGTGCTGGATTATTAAAAAATAAAGAATATAATTGCCGTTTTTGCTTCATTAAAACATATAAAACATATGAATCCTCATTAAAAGTCTAGCAAAAATAAAGAAATTTCTCCAGCAAGAAGATGTCTCATCTGAGAGTAGAATTTTCCGTACAAGAAACATTTGTATTTCTTGAATACCTACTTCTCAGATACACCATTGGTGGAGTTTGTACTTTTATTCAATAATAAATATTGTGCATATTTCTTGAGTTAATTTTGTTCATACAAAATGAGTATAGTTTTCGATATGGCAAAGAATATCAAAGGCGTCGAGCGGAGAAGGAATGGATTCTATAATTGTATACCTTGATTTGACCGAATTGACCGATTAAGAATATGATTAGCTCATGGGTAGCGTTTCCTTGGGAGGTAATTATTTTCAAAACAGCTCCCTCGAGTGGCCCTCATGGGAGTGGCCATAGAAAATATTAAAATAAACCTTTGTATTACCTCCTCTAATGGTTTCCACGAGTACAAATCATACTCGCACTATGCCCTAATCTGAATGAGGATTACCTCCAATGCCTTGGTACAAATTCATAAAAACACATTTTACTAATCGATTGCCAATCACAGATTAGAACCCAATCAACGATATGGTTTTCGAAACTTGAACTTCGGTAATGAAAGTATTCCGTATTTCCCTAAGCTATTGGTTATCGCTAGTGGGGTTTATGGGGCTTTTCAGCGGAATCAATTCGCTCTAAGCCTCTAAGCGATAGTTGGATTGCTTATCAAGTCGCACCAAGACGGACGCTTATAAAAGAAGCTCCAAATTTCGAATGAAAGTTAGTTCTGTGCTCGATTCGAAACGGCACACGTGTAAGCTCGAAAAAAAAGAAAGTTCTACGCCATGCGTTACCTCAGCGGCCTTGTACTTTTGTCCGCCGCCCTGCTGGCTCTCAACGTGAGACAATCTGAGGCTGCCTGTGGCTATGAGGTAAAGGGAAAAAAATATACAAAAAATAAAAGAGTTTAGACGAAAGTGAAACATTGTACCAGTTTTGTTACATTTATAGTAGGAAGAAAACCCTCCACTAAAGATTCCCCTAACTTTGGTTTCAGTCATGTCCCAAAACAAAGTCCAACATGATCAACATTCATATGGTGCCACACTCCCACGACGATGTTGGTTGGCTCAAGACGGTCGATCAGTACTACTATGGCCACAAGAGTAATATTCAGCATGCTGGTGTCCAGTACATCATCGACACAGTCATCTCTGAGCTGATCAAGAACCCCGATCGTCGCTTCATACAGGTGGAGACCTCTTTCTTTGCCAAATGGTGGCAGGAACAGCCAGAGACTACCAAGCTGGTGGTCAAGAAATTGGTCAACGAAGGACGCTTTGAGTTTACGGGTGGAGCCTGGAGCATGAACGATGAGGCAGCAGTCAACTATCAGAGTGTGATCGATCAGTTTTCCTTGGGTTTGAAGTAAGTGGATATCAGACGAGAGGGAAGCCCATTTAAAGATATATTTTAGGTGGTTGGATGAGACCTTCGGCGCCTGTGCCCGTCCCCGCATTGGCTGGCAGATCGATCCCTTTGGTCATTCCCGTGAGCAGGCCTCGATTTTCGCTCAAATGGGATATGATGGAGAGTTCTTCGCGCGCATGGATCACAGCGATAAGAATAATCGATTGGATAACCTGGCAATGGAAATGATTTGGGATGCCAGCGAGTCGCTGAGCAACGATGAGATCTTCACTGGCCTGCTCTACCGTCACTACTCGGCTCCGCCCGGCTACTGCTTTGATGTGCACTGCGGAGACGATCCCATCATCGACTCCAAGAGCTACGACAACAATGTCAAATCGCGAGTGGACGACTTCCTGAGCTATGTTTCGAATGTGGCCAAGTACTACCGCTCCAATCACATCATGATCCCCATGGGTGATGATTTCCAGTACGAAGATGCCCAGGTTAACTTCAAGAACATGGACAAGCTGATCAAGTAAGCGGAGCACACTAATTTGACCTTTAGTCCCGACACCATTCATTTTTCTCCAAACTAGGTATGTCAACGCACGCCAGGCGGACGGCTCCACGTACAATCTGTTCTACTCAACCCCGGCTTGCTACCTGAACTCCCTGCACGAGGGACTACAGACTTGGCCCAACAAAACCGACGACTTCTTCCCCTATGCCAGTGACTCCAACAGCTTCTGGACAGGATACTTCACCTCCCGACCCACCCAGAAACGCTTCGAGCGCGACGGCAATCACATGCTGCAGACCGCCAAGCAGCTCAGTGTCTTCGCCGGGCTCTCGAGCGAGCAGCAGAAGGAGGACCTGGACTACCTCCGCCAGATAATGGGTGTGATGCAGCACCACGATGCCATCACTGGAACGGAGAAGCAGGCCGTGTCCAACGACTACGATCGTCTGCTGTACGATGGCATTGTCGGAGGAGCCAGCAATGCCCGGGATGCCCTGCGAGTCCTGACCAACCTTCCTGAGGGGGAGTTTGAGAGCTGCCTGCAGCTCAACATCAGTGAGTGCGCCTTCACCAAGGACAGTGCCGACAACGTGGTCGTGACCCTGTTCAACCCATTGGCCCACACCTCCTCCCAGTATGTGCGAGTGCCAGTGAAGAAGGAGAGCTACCAGGTGACCGATGAGAAGGGACGCGTGGTGGCCTCTGAAGTTGTCCCGGTGGCCTGGCAGGTCCTGGCTTTGGAATACCGCGAGAACAACACTCAGCACGAACTTGTCTTCAAGGCCTCCGTGAACAAGATCGCCAGCTACTTCATTCAGAAGGTCGAGACGAGAGAAAACAAGGAAATTGTCCTGCCTAAGTCTGCTAAAAAGTCTGTGAAGGAAACCGAAAAGAACTTGGAGGTGCCCAAGCGATTCAAGAAGGTGCATTCGATGAAGAAGGTCGAGACCCACGCCGATGATGATTCCGAAACTGTGGTGCAGACATCCCAGATCAAGCTGGTGATTGACAACAATACAGGTCGCTTGAAGACCGTTGAGATGAACGGCGTCTCCGAATCTGTTGACCAGAATTTCGCCATTTATGAAACATATGAATCTGGAGCTTATGTCTTCCGTCAAAAGGAAGACGTTGACCTGAAATTCTTGGAAGACAAGGTGGAGTTCACGGTCTACGACGGATCTTTGGTCAAGGAAGTCCACCAACAGTTCAATGAATGGATCTCCCAGGTCATTCGCATCTACGAGGGTGTCAACCGTGTGGAGTTCGAGTGGCTCATCGGGCCAATTCCAACTGACGAAGATACTGCTAGGGAAATCGTCACCATCTTCGATAGTGGAATCTCCTCGAATGGCGTCTTCTATACAGACTCCAATGGGCGCGAGCTGATCAAGCGTATAAAGGACAAGCGTGAGGACTTCAACCCTGATCTAGGAAGGCAACCTATTAGTGGAAATTATTACCCAGTCGTATCCCGCATTGCCCTGCAGGACAGCAACAAGCGCATTGCACTGCTGAACGATCGTGCACAGGGAGGAACTAGCATGAAGGACGGACAGTTGGAGCTCATGCTCCATCGTCGTCTTATTCGTGATGATGGATATGGAGTGGGAGAGGCCCTGAACGAGCAGAAGTACGACAAACCCCTCATTGCACGCGGAAAAGTCTACCTGATCCTCAACTCTGTGGAGGAATCGACCAAAGTGGAGCGTGTGGCTGAGAAGGAGATCCTCCTTCCGTTCTCCGTTTTCTTCAGCAAGGCCAGCAGTCAGAGCCAGACCCAGAGCGCTATCGCCAAGGCGGTGCCCAGCTTCGATGACTTCCCGCAGTCGGTGCATCTGCTCACTCTTGAGCCCTTCACCGATGACGAGATCCTGCTGCGCGTGGAGAACTTCCTAGACCACACCGAGGGTAATGTTGTTAGCTTCAACATTCGTCATATCTTTGAGACATTGGGTGGTGTGGAGATCCGCGAGACCACCTTGGATGGCAACCTGCCACTGAGCGAAATGAGGCGATTCAAGTTCCACCACGATGCCTCTGGCCACAGCCCCGCAGAGGTCGAATACTTCACGACGGCCCACACGCCTCTGGCTGCTGTCGACTCTCAGGAAGCCTCTGACTTCAGTGTCACCCTGCACCCAATGCAAATTCGCACTTTCATCATCAAGAAGAAGTAATTCATAGTTCCCCATCATGCAGTATAATAAATATATAATAAAATATATAAATTCAATATTTAAAAACATATATTTCGAGAAGAAAGTAATTAAGTGCAAACACTGCTCTGAGCTGCAGAACATTTGCTGGCTATTGTCGCTAGAACAACGTTATTCAAACCACAAATTTTTATACCCGATACTCAAAATGAGTATTGGGGTATATTAGATTTGTGGTAAAAGTGGATGTGTGTAACGTCCAGAAGGAATCGTTTCCGACCCCATAAAGTATATATATTCTTGATCAGCATCAATAGCCGAGTCGATTGAGCTCTGTCTGTCTGTCCGTCCGTCCGTCTGTCCGTCTGTCCGTCCCCTTCAGCGCCTAGTGCTCAAAGACTATAAGAGCTAGAGCCACGATGTTTTGGATCCAGACTTCTGTGATATGTCACTGCTACAAGAATATTTCAAAACTTCGCCCCGCCCACTTCCGCCCCCACAAAGGGCGAAAATCTGTGGCATTAGCGCCTAGATCTCAGAGACTATAAAAGCTAGAGCAACCAAATTTTCGATCCACACTCCTTAGATATCGGACCTTGACCGTTTTGTGTCAAAATTTGGCCACACCCCCTTCCGCCCCCGCAAAGGAGGAAAATCTGGAGCATCTATAAATCTCAGAAACTATTAGGGCCAGAGAAACCTAGCCGTCACGCTCAGACTGATTTTCTATCTCTCTCGCACGCACTCTTTGTCGTGTCTTTTAATATTAGCGGCGGAGGAGAGCCATACTGACTAAGTATCGGGTATAAATGTAGAGTTGCGGTCTCCGCAGCAACTCACAACGTTCCCCCTCGTTCTATCTCTCTAGGATAAGTACACCACAGCTTATCACCTATTGACTATTAAAGCCACATGCGCGGCTCAAACAGAGGATTAAAAGACTTTGTTTTGTCGTGCATAACAGATATGAATGCTTAGGCTAAGCGGATGGACTTGATGACACAGATAAGGTTACTTTTCAATTGCTTTTCGAATACTTTTCAATAGTATGTCTACATTTATGCAAACATCAATCGAATAAGTGTATAATACACCACTCCTATTTATGATAACTCCCTAAAATTGAGCCAAGCCACTCGACTCTCTTCCAAATGACCGCCAAAACAGGCCCTCAAGTGCTTTGTTGCTGTGCGAGAACTGGGTCGGAATAAGTGCTTAGTTCGTGGCTTATGGACTCCACTCCTCGGTTAGAGGCTAAGCTCTATACCACATGAACTTCGAGTGGCTTTCGGTTTCTAGTTTCTAGGAACTAGAAAACAATTCATAAAAAACAAAAAAAAATATTAAAAAAAAATATATATAACTAAAAATTAAAATAATCGAAATCCAATTAAATAATTAAGGATAATTAGAAAAGTATATAATTAAATAAATAAACAAATTTAAACAAAATTCAACACAAAAACATATTTAATATAAAGATTTTATTAAATATTTAGTAAGTCTTAATTGGAACTAATGATCATAACAATATTTATGAAAAAAACTATACCAAGTATATTTAATTTTTGTAGGCACTTGTTGACTAGGAAGGATTAATAAACAATACAAAACAAACAATAGATGTGCTTTGATGCCAATAAGGTAATTGATTATTTCCCGTACAAATTCATAAAAACTAAAAATGTTTATACATGCAATCAACAATTAAAATCATTTTAACTAATCGAATATGAACGTTCGATAAGGAGTGCCATATCCCTCAAAAACAGAAGCAAATACAGACAGATTGTTAAATATGGCACCCAATTAAGATAAACGTATTAGTGCAAGATGATTAGGACTGCCATATGTCGAGAATGGAGAGATTCGATTACCTACAATGTACAACATGACGTTCGAAACGTATTACCAACCAAACCAGGGGCTATCTTTCAAATGCACCTACTTAATTGGTTTTTAAGCATCACTTCACTTTCACTAATCCAAGATACGGTCAAGTGCTCATTTCTTATCAACTCATAGCCAGGGAAAACAGCTATGTTGTGTTTTGTTCCCCATATAAAAAGGCAACTTACACTTGATTGAAAATTAGTTGTGGACTCAAGCTCGAGCCACCTATTTGTTGGAGTCGCATAAAGTTCTTATATTTGTATAGTCACACGTTTTAAATTTTTAAAGGTGTTGCAATGAAGTATCTCGGCGGCATTTTTCTTTTTGTCGTACTGTTGATCATCGACACAAAACCAACTGAAGCTGTCTGTGGCTATGAGGTGATGCGAGCTTTGATATTTTCCATGGACTGAAATAACCATCAACCATCGTTCCATCTACTATAGTCTTGTCCCGAAACAAAACCCAACATGGTCAACATTCACTTGGTACCACACTCCCACGACGATGTCGGTTGGCTAAAGACGGTGGATCAGTACTACTATGGCCACAAGAACAACATCCAGCATGCTGGTGTCCAGTACATCATTGACACAGTCATCACAGAGCTTATCAAGGATCCCAAACGTCGCTTCATCCAGGTGGAGACCTCTTTCTTTGCCAAATGGTGGGAGCAACAGACGGAGACCCACAAACTGGTGGTCAAGAAATTGGTCAACGAAGGTCGTCTGCAGTTCACCAACGGCGCCTGGAGCATGAACGATGAGGCGGCAGTCAACTATCAGAGTGTGATCGATCAGTTCACAGTGGGATTAAAGTAAGTTGCAACAGAGATGTAGTCGTGGGACTTACGTAGCTATATGGACTGATATCTTTAGGTTTCTTGATGAGACGTTCGGTATTTGTGCACGTCCTCGCGTTGGCTGGCAGATCGATCCTTTCGGTCACAGTCGCGAGCAGGCCTCATTGTACGCACAAATGGGATACGATGGAGAGTTCTTTTCTCGCATGGATCACAGCGATAAGTTCAGGCGCATGGTTGACCTCGCACTGGAAATGGTTTGGGATGCCAGCGAATCCTTGAGTGAAGTGAAGCTCTTCACTGGTCTGCTCTACAACCACTACTGGGACACTCCCGGCTTCTGCTTCGATGTGCACTGCAATGACGATCCAATTATCGACGGAGACAGTTACGATAACAACGTCAAGTCCAGGGTGGACGATTTCATCGCCTTTGCGGCTAAGGTCGCGGCAAACTTCCGCACGACCCACATCATGATACCCATGGGAGGTGACTTCCAGTACGAAGATGCTGAGGTCAACTTCAAGAATATGGACAAGTTGATCAAGTAAGAAAAGTCTGTCTACTTGATTAATAGTAATCTGCTAAATGCCCGATTTAACTTTTTAGATATGTCAACGCACGCCAGGCTACTGGATCCCACTACAATATATTTTACTCGACACCCGGCTGCTACCTGAACTCTGTTCATCAAGGTCTACAGTCGTACCCCAACAAAACTCTCGACTTCTTCCCCTATGCCAGTGACTCCAACAGCTTCTGGACAGGTTACTACACCTCCCGACCCACCCAGAAACGCTTCGAGCGCGACGGCAATCACATGCTGCAGACCGCCAAGCAGCTCAGTGTCTTCGCCGGGCTCTCGAGCGAGCAGCAGAAGGAGGACCTGGACTACCTCCGCCAGATAATGGGTGTGATGCAGCACCACGATGCCATCACTGGAACGGAGAAGCAGGCCGTGTCCAACGACTACGATCGTCTGCTGTACGATGGCATTATCGGAGGAGCCAGCAATGCCCGGGATGCCCTGCGAGTCCTGACCAACCTTCCTGAGGGGGAGTTTGAGAGCTGCCTGCAGCTCAACATCAGTGAGTGCGCCTTCACCAAGGACAGTGCCGACAACGTGGTCGTGACCCTGTTCAACCCATTGGCCCACACCTCCTCCCAGTATGTGCGAGTGCCAGTGAAGAAGGAGAGCTACCAGGTGACCGATGAGAAGGGACGCGTGGTGGCCTCTGAAGTTGTCCCGGTGGCCTGGCAGGTCCTGGCTCTGGAATACCGCGATAACAACACTCAGCACGAACTTGTCTTCAAGGCCTCCGTGAACAAGATCGCCAGCTACTTCATTAAGAAGGTCGAGACGAGAGAAAACAAGGAAATTGTCCTGCCCAAGTCTGATAAAAAGTCTGTGAAGGAAACCGAAAAGAACTTGGAGGTGCCCAAGCGATTCAAGAAGGTGAATTCGATGAAGAAGGTCGAGACCCACGCCGATGATGATTCCGAAACTGTGGTGCAGACATCCCAGATCAAGCTGGTGATCGACAATAATACGGGTCGCTTGAAGAGCGTTGAAATGAATGGGGTCGTTGAGGATATTGAGCAGAAATTTGGAGTGTATGAAACTTCTGCTTCTGGTGCATACGTGTTCCGTGAGGTAGAGTCTACCGAGATGCAATTCTTGACTACAGATGTGGAGTTTACGGTTTACGATGGAACTTTGGTCAAGGAAGTCCACCAGCAGTTCAACGAATGGATCTCCCAGGTCATTCGCATCTACGAAGGTGTCAACCGTGTGGAGTTCGAGTGGCTCATCGGGCCTATTCCAACGGACGAGGACACTGGCAGGGAAATTGTGACACTTTTCTACAGCGAAATCTCCTCGAATGGCGTCTTCTACACCGACTCCAATGGCCGCGAGATGATTAGACGAGAAAAGGACAAGCGCGAAGATTTCACTCCCGATTTGTCGAGGCAGCCCACCAGTGGAAATTACTATCCAGTCGTATCCCGCATTGCCTTGCAGGACAGCAACAAGCGCATTGCACTGCTCAACGATCGTGCACAGGGAGGAACTAGCATGAAGGACGGACAGTTGGAGCTCATGCTCCATCGTCGTCTTATTCGTGATGATGGATATGGAGTGGGAGAGGCTCTGAACGAGCAGAAGTACGACAAACCCCTCATTGCACGCGGAAAAGTCTACTTGATCCTCAACTCTGTGGAGGAATCGACCAAAGTGGAGCGTTTGGCCGAGAAGGAGATCCTCCTTCCTTTCTCCGTTTTCTTCAGCAAGGCCAGCAGTCAGAGCCAGACCCAGAGCGCTATCGCCAAGGCGGTGCCCAGCTTCGATGACTTCCCACCGTCGGTTCATCTGCTCACCCTTGAGCCCTTCACCGATAACGAGATCCTTCTGCGTGTGGAGAACTTCCTGGATCACATCGAAGGCAAGGTAGTTAGCTTCAACATTCGGCCGATCTTCGATAGCTTGGGTGGTGTGGAGATCCGCGAAACGACCTTGGATGGCAACCTGCCACTGAGCGAGATGAAGCGATTCAAGTTCCATGCGGAAGGATCCGGAGCGATATCAACAGAGGCCGAGTACTACACCGCGGCGCACAAGCCCCTGGCTGCCGATAGTTCTCTAGAAGCTTCGGAGTTCAGTGTTACCCTGCACCCAATGCAAATTCGTACTTTTATAATCAAGAAGAAATAAATTAGAATAAAAAACTGAAATGAAAGAAACTTAAAAGAACTAAAAATCATGATAATGAGATTTTTTAAGGAACTTAAAAATATTGGAATTTATCTCCCATTTTTGGTTCGTTTTCTATAAAACCGGAACGGTTTTATCGCATGAACTTTGTCAGAAGTAATGATAACTCTATATCGTTTATATCTTATGTTGAAGAGGTTGAAGACTTAATTTACGTTTAATTGAGCATTAATAAAATTTCTATCGCTTAAACAATTGTGAGACTTTCGTCTTGTCAGAAAAAATCTGTTATATTTTTTATTGTATTTTTTTTGTATTTGTAGGTACTACTGGTAATGCATTCCCATAAACAAACTCTTATCCGCACTTCGCCCCATTAAAATACTCGATAAGCATTGATTGAAAATATAGTTCTCAGTAAAACAGAAGTTACGAGTACTGCTCCCATTAAATGATTGATACAAACTGAATAATCAACTTATTTTTAGATCGTATAAAAGTGAAGTACATCATCTAGGGAGTCATGCAAAAGTAAACACTCGAGCGAGTTTATCAGTTAATTCCAATACTACGGTATTTATGGTACCCATGAAATCCAAGGGTGTTTTGTATTCATGGAAATGTAAGTATGTTCAAAAAGGAAGCATTGTCTTGTGCAGCTAAGTTGTCTTCGATGTAACGAGTGTCGACTTGTCGAGTCTTGCACAGCAATAATTCTCTTGTTCTTAGAATTAGCTTATCACAGTGATCTAATGTACGAGCATATTATTTCTTATCATTTGTGTGCATTCCTTATCAAGTCATACCTGTGCCTATAAAACAGCATGTTCAGCTAAAAGAAAGTCAGTTCTTGCTTCAATTTGCTTTAAATTCCTGCCAATATGATACGTCTGGGCTTTGTTCTCCTCTTGGTTTCATTTTTGGTGATCCAACCGCAGCAATCCGAAGCTGTCTGTGGCTATGAGGTTAGTAAACACTCGCGAGAAAACGCAGAGCTTGATTTTAAAGTTATTTGCTGCAGTCATGTCCCGAAACAAAGTCGAACATGGTCAACGTTCACTTGGTGCCACACTCCCACGACGATGTCGGCTGGCTTAAGACGGTGGATCAGTCGTATTATGGCTTCAAGAATAACATCCACCATGCTGGCGTCCAATACATATTGGATACGGTTGTGACGGAGCTCATCAGCGACCCGAAGCGTCGCTTCATTCAGGTGGAGACCTACTTCTTTGCCAAGTGGTGGAGGGAACAGTCGGAGACCACTCGACGAATTGTCACAAAATTGGTCAACGAAGGACGCTTTGAGTTCACGGGTGGAGCCTGGAGCATGAACGATGAGGCGGCTGTAAACTACCAGGGTGTGATCGATCAGTTTACAGTGGGATTGAAGTAGGTTAACTCTATGAGATTTTCATCATAAGACACTCATTTGTTTGATAGGTTCCTCAACGAGACATTCGGTGCTTGTGCTCGTCCTCGCGTTGGCTGGCAAATCGATACTTTCGGCCATTCTCGCGAACAGGCGGCGATATTTGCCCAGATGGGCTACGACGGACAGTTCTTCTCCCGCATGGATCACAACGATAAGGACACTCGGCTGGAGAATCTGTCAATGGAAATGATTTGGGATGCCAGCGAGTCCTTGAGTGAAGTGAAGCTCTTCACGGGTATGCTATACAATTTCTACTCGGATACACCCGGCTTTTGCTTTGATGTCCTGTGCAACGATGACCCGATTATCGATGGCAAGAGCTACGACAACAACGTGGAGTCCAGGGTGGATGATTTTATTAGCTATGCGGCAACTGTCTCAAAGCACTATCAAGCGAATCACATCATGATCCCAATGGGTGGTGATTTCCAGTACGAGGATGCCAAGGTTAATTTCAAGAACATGGACAAGCTGATCAAGTAAGTGCTGCCTGAGTATTTTACCCATAAATGATCCTTAAGTGCGTATCATTTGGAATTTCAACAAGGTATATAAACGAGCGCCAGGCACACGGTAGCAAGTACAACATCTTCTACTCAACCCCGAGCTGCTATCTCAACGCTCTCCATCAGAGCCTGCAGACGTGGCCTAACAAAACCCAGGACTTCTTTCCCTATGCCCATGAGCCGAACAGCTTCTGGACCGGTTTCTACACCTCCCGACCCACCCAGAAACGCTTCGAGCGCGATGGCAACCACTTGCTACAGACAGTCAAGCAGCTCAGTGTTTTTGCTAAACTCTCGAGCGATCAACAGAACAAGGACCTGGACTACCTCCGCCAGATATTGGGAGTGATGCAGCACCACGATGCCATTACTGGTACCGAACGACAAGCCGTATCGGACGACTACGATCGATTGATGTACGATGCCATTGTCGGAGCTGGCAACAGTGCCCGCGATGCTTTGAGGCTTCTGACCAACCTTCCCAACGGAGAGTTTGAAAGTTGCCTACTTTTGAACATCAGTGAGTGCGCCTTTACCAAGGATAGTGCTGACAACGTAGTGGTGACGCTGTACAATCCATTGGCCCACAACTCCACGCAGTATGTCCGAATACCCGTAAAAGAAGATAACTACGAAGTCAATGATGAGAATGGAAATGGAGTTGCTTCAGAAATTGTGCCAGTTCCCTGGCAGGTCTTGGCAATGGAGCACCGTGCCAATGATACCCAACACGAGCTGATTTTCAAGGCCACCGCGAATAAGATCGCCAGCTACTACATCAAGAAGATCGACAATCCAAAGAAGGCTCACACGATAAAGAAGGTTGAACCGCATGCAGAGGATTCCGATACTGTAGTTCAAAATTCGGTAAGCTTCAGTAGCTCTCAGATAGTTTTAGATCGTACCTGCAAATCTTAACCATAATTCCACAGCTCATCAAATTGGTGATAGACAACAAATCGGGCCGCTTGAGGACTGTTGAGATGAATGGAGTATCGGAGAATATTGAACAGAACTTTGGGGTGTACAAGACCCGCGCTTCATGTGCTTACACATTCCGTCAAGATGGGGACATTGAAGTAGTGCAAGATAATGTTGAGTTTACAGTGTACGAAGGGCATTTGGTCAAGGAAGTCCATCAGCAGATGAACGAGTGGATCTCCCAGGTCATTCGCATTTATGAGGGTGTCAACCGTGTGGAGTTCGAATGGATGGTGGGACCCATTCCCATTGTAGACAACGTGGGCATGGAGATTGTCACAAACTTCCGCAGTGAAATATCATCGAATGGTGTCTTCTACACGGACTCCAATGGCCGTGAGTTGATGCGGCGAGAGAAGGACAAGCGGGAGGACTTTACCTCAGACTTGAGCCGTCAACCGATCAGCGGAAACTTTTATCCAGTCACCTCCCGCCTTGCACTGCAGGACAATGAGAAACGGTTGGTCCTGCTTAACGACCGTTCGCAGGGCGGGGCCAGCCTGCAGAACGGACAGCTGGAAATGCTGTTACATCGCCGTCTGATGTTCAATGATGGCGGCGGCGTTGGCGAAGCTCTCAATGAAGAGCAGTATGGCAAGGGTCTGATTGCCCGAGGTAAATTGTTCCTAGTCCTCAGCTCAATCAAAGAAAAAAATACTCGGACTGAGCGTCTGGCAGAGAAGGAGATTCACCTGCCCTTCTATAAGTTCTTCAGCAAGGACAGCAGTGAAAGCAGAAATGCTATGCCTCAATCGATACCCGACTTTAATGACTTCCCTGAGCCCGTGCATCTTCTCACCCTGGAGCCTTTCAACGATGATGAAATTCTGCTGCGGGTGGAGAACTTTGTAGACCACACGGAGGGTAATGTGGTTAGCTTCAACATTCGGCAGATCTTCGATAGCTTGGGCGGTGAAGAGATCCGCGAGACCACCTTGGATGGCAACCTACCACTGAGCGAGATGAAGCGATTCAAGTTCCCCGCAAAAGCATCTGGCGTTTTACCACCAACGGCTGTCGAGTACTCTAAAGCCGAGTACAACCCCCTGGAGGCGGATAAACACCAGGAAGGATCGGAGTTTAGTGTCACGCTACACCCAATGCAAATTCGAACTTTCATTATTAAAAGAAAGTAACGAGAGAGAACGGGTAACGAGTACCCGAAGCTCATATTATATATGTATATATGAGCTTATAATTTTTGTTACTTCTACAATATATTATTGGAGTCGATGACTGCCGCACTCTATCTCTCACTCTCTCTCTCTCTCTCTTTGGATTTTGGTATCGCAGTATCGTGGATCCCTCCGCATTCTGTCGCAATTTTGTCAGCCCTTGTCATGAGAGATGGGAAAAGAATAGCAGAATGACAGAAACCATCTAATGTCATCGTATGACCTACATATGTGATTGTAATTTTAGAAAATTGTATCTTTTTCCATTTTTATACCCGATACTCAAAATGAGTATTGGAGTATATTAGATTTGTGGTAAAAGTGTATGTGTGTAACGTCCAGAAGGAATCGTTTCCGACCCCATAAAGTATATATATTCTTGATCAGCATCAATAGCCGAGTCGATTGAGCCATGTCTGTCTGTCCGTCTGTCCGTCCGTCCGTCTGTCCGTCTGTCCGTCCCCTTCAGCGCCTAATGCTCAAAGACTATAAGAGCTAGAGCAACGATGTTTTGGATCCAGACTTTTGTGATATGTCACTGCTACAAAAATATTTCAAAACTTTGCCCCGCCCACTTCCGCCCCCACAAAGGGCGAAAATCTGTGGCATCCACAATTTTAAAGATACGAGAAAACCAAAAACGCAGAATCGTAGAGAATGACCATATCTTTTAGACTGCGGAATTGGATCGTATTATTATTATAGCCAGCATCAAGAAAACAATTTCATTTTTTCTCGCCCTGTCTCTCTCTAACACACACGTAGCATAGGCGGCTTTGCTTAGAGTAAAACATTAGCGCCTAGATCTCAGAGACTATAAAAGCTAGAGCAACCAAATTTGGTATCCACACTCCTAATATATCGGACCGAGACGAGTTTGTTTCAAAATTTCGCCACACCCCCTTCCGCCCCCGCAAAGGATGCAAATCTGGGGATATTCAAAAATCTCAGAGACTATTAAGGCTAGAGTAACCAAATTTAGTATACGCACTCCTGTTAGATCTCACTATAAAACGTATATCTGAAAATTTCGCCCCACCCCCTTCCGCCCCCACAAAGGACGAAGAACTGTTGCATCCACAATATTGCAAATTCGAGAAAACTAAAAACGCAGAATCATAGATAATGACCATATCTATCAGATTGCTGAATCTGGATCAGATCAGATCATTTTTATAGCCATAAGGAACAAATCAATTTGCAGTGGCTACGCAGCGCCCGACGTCACGCTCAGACTGATTTTCTGTCTCGCTCGCACGCACTCTTGGTCGTGTCGCTTAATATTAGCGGCGCTGCCGGAGGAGAGCCATACTGACTTAGTATCGGGTATAACTGTAGAGTTGCGGTGTCCGCAGCAACTCACAACGTTCCCCCTCGTTTTGCTTCTGTTTTCTATTCCGCTACATCTGTCGATCAATCTCTATCTCTTTTCTCAAACCAACATCAGCCGTTATATCTCTGGGGTCAAAAAAGGTTCTTTCTGGGTATTGCACACACATCAACATTCGCCGCAGAAATAAAATACCCCCAAACACATCGAGTACCAGGTATAATTAATATATGTGGCTTTCACTTTCCTAGCGATAAGATCCCTGATTGCCCTGGTACTTCAAGTAGTACAAATTCATAAAAGTTTTCTTTAATCGTAAGTGGCATTCATCAATTAAAATCCATTTAAAACCTTCAAGTGGTTTTGATAAGAACTGCAATACCTCTTAAAATCCCAGATTAACCGCACTGTGAAATTGATAACATATTCATTATGGTGGACTATGAATATGGCTATCGCTTAATTGATTCAAATTCAAAATATACTCTAGTACTCATTGCTTATCAATTCTTTATAAAAAGACAGCTTAAACGAGGGGAGAAATCAGTCATGGACTCGACTCCCACCCATCGAAAACACACCGCAATGAAATATTTTTACGGCATAATTATATTTTTAGTATGGTTGGCATTCGACACAACTGAAGCTGTCTGTGGCTATGAGGTAATTACAGATGCTTTTTAACGTGTTAGTTTAAACTAGTGATTCCTCGGCTTGCAGTCTTGTCCTGAAACAAAACCCTTCATGGTCAACGTTCACTTGGTGCCTCACTCCCACGATGATGTAGGCTGGCTCAAGACGGTGGATCAGTACTACTATGGCCACAAGAACAACATCCAGCATGCCAGAGTCCAGTACATCCTCGACACAGTCATCGATGCACTTTTGGAGAATCCCAAGCGTCGCTTTATTCAAGTGGAGACCGCGTTCTTTGCCAAATGGTGGCAGGAACAGAGGGAGTCAATGAAGCAGGTGGTCAACCGATTGGTCAACGAAGGTCGTCTGGTATTCACTGGCGGAGCTTGGACCATGAACGATGAGGCGGCAGTCAACTATCAGAGTGTGATCGATCAGTTCACAGTGGGATTGAAGTAAGTCGTAACCGAGTTGTCCGCATGGGACTTCCATGGCTTTATATACTGATCTTTAGGTTCCTTGATGAGGCATTCGGTATTTGCGCACGTCCCCGTGTTGGCTGGCAGATCGATGCCTTTGGCCACTCCCGGGAGCAGGCCTCGATGTTTGCTCAAATGGGATTCGACGGACAGTTCTTTGCTCGCATGGATCACAGGGATAAGAGCAAACGTGCGGATAACTTGGGCCTGGAAATGATTTGGAATGCCAGCGAGTCCCTCGATGAAATGGAACTCTTCACCGGAATGCTCTACAACCACTACTCGGCCCCTCCTGGCTTTTGCTTTGATTTGCTTTGCAATGACGACCCCATTGTTGATGGAACGAGCTACGACAACAATGTAGGGGACAGGGTTAATGAATTCACCAAATATTTAGAGGGCCTGGAAACGCACTACCGCTCCTATCACATCATGGTTCCAATGGGTGATGATTTTCATTATGAAAATGCCCATAAGAACTATAAAAATATGGACAAACTGATTAAGTGAGCTATTATCAGCCTCATTATCTCCAACCGGTATCTTACTTTTCCGTCCACATAGATATGTCAACAGTCTCCAGTTCAGGTACAATGTCTTCTACTCAACCCCAAGCTGCTATCTGCAGTCCTTGCATCAGACTCTGGAAACATGGCCCAACAAGACGCAGGACTTCCTGCCCCACTCACATGAGGCGGACAGCTTCTGGACAGGATACTACACCTCCCGACCCACCCAGAAACGCTTCGAGCGCGACGGTAATCACATGCTGCAGACCGTGAAGCAACTCAGTGTCTTCGCCGGGCTCTCGAGCGACCAGCAAAAGAAGGATCTGGACTACCTCCGCCAGATAATGGGTGTGATGCAGCACCACGATGCCATCACTGGAACGGAGAAGCAGGAGGTGTCCAACGACTACGATCGCCTGCTGTACGATGGCATTATCGGAGGAGCCAGCAATGCCCGGGATGCCCTACGAGTCCTGACCAACCTTCCAGAGGGGGAGTTTGAGAGCTGCCTGCAACTGAACATCAGTGAGTGCGCTTTCACCAAGGACAGTGCCGACAACGTGGTCGTGACCCTGTTCAACCCATTGGCCCACACCTCCTCCCAGTATGTGCGGGTGCCCGTGAGGGAGGAGAGCTACCAAGTGACCGACGAGAAGGGACGCGTGGTTGCCTCTGAAGTTGTCCCAGTGGCCCAGCCCGTACTGGCTTTGAAATACCGCGAGAACAACACTCAGCACGAGCTTGTGTTCAAGGCCTCCGTGAACAAGATTGCCAGCTACTTCATCAAAAAGATAGAGAAGACTGAGAGCAAGAAAATCGTCCTGCACAATAGATTGAGAAAGGACGAGACTCAATCCGATGTTGATTCGGAAACTGTGGTCCAGACATCCCAGATTAAACTGGTGATCGACAATTATACTGGTCGCTTAAAGACCATTCAGATGAACGGTGTCGTTGAGACGATTGAGCAGAACTTTGGAGTGTTCAAGACTACACGATCGTGCCACTATATTTTCCGTGAAGATGAACCCATGGATGTGCTGTCAGACGATATTGAGTTCGCAGTATACGATGGGGATTTGGTAAAGGAGATTCATCAGCAGGTGGACGATTACATCTCCCAGGTCATTCGGATTTATGAAGGAGTCAATCGTGTGGAGTTTGAATGGCTGATCGGTCCTATCCCAGGGTTTGGCAGAGAGATCATTACTATTTTCGATAGTGGAATCTCATCAGATGGCGTCTTCTATACCGATTCCAATGGTCGCGAGATGATTAGGCGAGAAAGAGACAAGCGCGAAGACTTCAGTCCCGACTTGGAGAAGCAACCTACGAGTGGTAACTATTATCCAGTCACATCCCGCATTGCCCTGCAGGATAATGCCAAGCGACTGGTCCTACTGAATGATCGCTCTCAGGGAGGATCGAGTATGAATGATGGACGATTAGAGATTATGCTCCATCGCCGTAGCTATTTCAGCGATGGCTCCGGTGCTGCAGAAGCCTTAAACGAACAGCAGTTCGGTGATGGTCTTATTGCAAGGGGAAAACTGTTTCTCATTCTCAATGCAGTGGCCAAAGAAAATACTATCGCTGAGCGTCAGGCTGAGAAAGAGATTCATTTGCCCTTCTGGAAGTTCTTCAGCAAATCCAAGAACGCAATTAGCAACGCTGTACCCAAGCTATTACCCGACTTTAATGACTTGCCCCAATCGGTGCATCTGCTTACCCTTGAACCCTTCACCGATGACGAGATCCTCTTGCGCTTGGAGAACTTTCTGGATCGCATCGAAGGAAAGGTGGTTAGCTTCAATATTCGCTCGATATTCGATAGCTTGGGCGGTAGCGAGATCCGCGAAGCCACCTTGGATGGCAACCTGCCTTTGGAAGAGATGAAACGTATGAAATTCCATCATTATGGAGCCGGCCCTATGCCCCGAAAAGCCGAGTTCTTCATGTCGCAACACAAGCCCTTGTCGGCGAACAAATCTCATGAGGCCTCCGAGTTCAGTGTGACCCTGAACCCCATGCAAATCCGTACATTCATCATCCGAAAGGAGCCAGTTTAGTTGAACCCTGATGCCAATGACTGTGTAAAACATGATAGATAAATTTTTTTGAACGTGCTAATAATAAATAGAGAAAAATAGAAGATTATATGCTGGAACTGCTTAACATATTTACAGCTTACAATGCGGATACATTTGCTGCAGCCCACGCCTTAAATCCCCTGCTCCTATCCATGACTTAGACGACATAAGTCCTTCTGGCTATTTTGGTGACCACGACCCCAACCCCGTCGCTCGCTTCCTGGTCGCTTACATATTTTTTTGTGAGCTTTAAGCTATGGCTGGCATGTATATCTATAGCTCTTGTGTGTCTACATATATAAACGATATCTGTATGCGATAGCTGCTCATGGCTGCTGCTGCTGTTCTAATGCTGCTAATGTCTAGCACTCGAAAAAAGATTTGCGCCCAATGCCCCTCGTGGCATCTACCTACAAAATACTTGTGTGCCATCATCATACATGCTCGTATAAGGATCTTCCATTGCAGGACTTTGGTCCTGGGCTTTTATTATTAAGTTCGCCACGGGAGACTTTAATCTGTGGCTGCTCCTGGTTGGGACAGCCCTCCATGCCACTCTGCCACTGCGATGCAAAACAATGAGCGAGCGAATTCATGCCATATGTGTGTGTCCTCTGAGCAGGCTCTCGTTTTTGGTAGATGGGAAAAATTATTTAATATTACCCGTCTTAGGCAATGAGGCGAGGCGGGGCGAGTGGCGGGGGCCAGGCTCAGGCCCAGGCCCAATCGAGCTGCTCAGGCGTTGTTTGGTCCTAATCCTTGTGCGAGTATTAGACATGGAATTTAATTTAGTTTCAGCTGCAGCTCGGCATGGAAGGACAGTGGCGCATATGTGTGCCAAGTGCCCCATGCTGTTGCTATTGCTGTTGCCGGTTGCTGTTGCCTTTGCCGCACTGTCAAACTTTTGCTTTGCCGACTTTCGGTCGAGTTGGCGCTTTTAATTCAAAGGAAACCAACACCCCAACCCACTCTTTTCTGCCACTCGCACTGTTTACTTCCTGAGCTGCAGATAATCCAACTTTGATTAAGTAATTTTAGCATCGAGGGCCAGACCCAGACCATAATAAGGTTGGGTGTTGAAAATCCTACGACTCAGTCGTATTCCCATGTGTGTCTGTGTGTGGGCGTGGCTCGGGCAGAACAAAAAAGAAAGCACCCCCTCCTGCCGAATGGGTAAGACAATGCCTGGATGCCATTCCATTTGAACGGACTCCCTGCTGCTGTTTATTTTCGGACTGGATTTTTCGGGCATGCGAGTGTGGTACAGCAATTACCATAATAACGTGTTAACTGGTCGTTCATGTGGAGTTTTCATAATTTCATAATTGATTGAACAGTCAATCGAAAAAGGTATGCAAATCTGCGATGAAATATTTACATTTTTTCACCCATTTGTCGTCTCTTTATGATCCCGAAAAATCAGCTTAGACCCAGCACGGAGTTCAAACGGGAACACAACAGAGATAGAACCAGAATATTCAAAAAAGGGCAGCCGGCAAAAAACAATGGACAAATGGTGAAACTAAGCGGCTAAACAAATATCGAGCCATCGAGCATAAATCCTCTCACTAAAACGCGCACTCGACAACTCAATAATACAACGACGACAAATACGACAAAAAAAGGGGCAACGTGTGCTTTTTGGCACTTCAAATACAGAAATACAGGAGGGAACGAACTGCAGTCGGCTTATAGACAATCGACCGGAGGCCCGGCCCCCCACCAGGCGACCCCATCCGACCTATCCGGAGCGGTAAATTGCGGACAAGTGTGGGTATCTGTCTGTCTGTCTGTCTGTGTGTCGGCGTGTGTGTGTGTGTCATTTTAATCAACGGCAACATGCAGCAGATTATCCGACAGCTAAACAACACCCGGGGATACCCCGAACGAACCCAACGATGTGTCGATGAATGGGAAAGCGTTTCGCTTTGACAATTGCCACTGGCTGACTGGCTGACTGGCTGGCTGCCATCCTTCCTCCGCAGAACAATTAAATGCGCAGTGAGGCCCAAGCCTACTTAGGGTCTATAAAAATCCGCACACACATAATGCTTTTCATACATATTGTATACGGCAAACGGAAGAGTACGAGTATATATCCACGTTTTTCCAAGCGTTTGCGAATTTATTGAACCGCAACAAATGTCATTGATGTCATCATCATCAACTGCCACTGCATTAGGATCATCATCATCATCTGGGACATCGACAAGCGTATCCGAATCTTTTTTATTAGCAACAAGTTTTTAATATCGCAGCAGGAGCTCATATCCAACGGAGGTAGAGACACGACACCATAAAAATGCCTCAAACTTACAACAATAGCGCCCTAGTCTATCTATAGAGCTATAGTGCTACCTTCCACTCTCTCTCCCCTTTGCGATCCCCATGCCAGAGACGAGAGCATCCCTCAGCGAATGCCGATTTTATAAGAATTTAATATGCGCCACGTATTTTGATGTTGAGGATGTGTTTCGGTTTCTTCCTATTCTTCCTTTTTTTTTGCGCTGTTCCTTTAAATCATTCACACTGAGAGTCGACTAGGGAGTTGCACAGATGAGTGCAATTTGGTACTCCAGGATGAGTATTTATTCTTATGAGTCTATTCAAAATTACATGATTTCTTTCAAAATTATTTTAGAATACAAAATTTAAATATCTCGTAATAACTATGAAAAATATTTGTTCAGATTGATTCAAGCATTAAATTTTTTAATTGAATTTTTCGGTATCTTATGGGTAAAATAAAATAAAATAAAAAATGTTTTTTCTTCAATAAAATCTTATTTTTTTTTTAATTTTCATTTATTTTATTGAGGGTTTACATTACTTAAAAAGAAAAAAAAACAAAAAAATAAGATTAATAAATATTTTGTACCAAAATACCACAAAATATATACATATCTTTAAATATGATATAATCACTTTATGATACTAGAATAATTCAAAAATCCATTTTTTAACCTGAAATATATGAAAATATAGTAAAATCATATCTGGAATAAAATTTGCATACAATATAAATATATTTGATCAATATTTCATTGATTTGTATATAAGAACACTATGTACATGATTTTTACAGAAGTCCCGTCCAATCTTGCAGCAATCTCGACGTTTTCTTCATTACATCATAACGATTATGAAATAAATACTTCCGTTTCTTTGAGACGTATTCGCGGGTATGGCAGGGATTTTGGGATGTGCGACTCCTGCTGCTGCTCCTCTCCGCTCTTTGATTTTCCATAGAATAGAAATAAATCAACTGCATGTCCTGTTCCTGGCGATTGCCGGTAGGGCCACCCCTTCCCCGTGCCTGCCATGTATTTATTGTTACGTTTTTAAGTTTGGAATTTTTAATTTATTGCGCATCCTTCATTGTTGAAAGTTATAATTCTTTCCTGCTGGATGCTGGCCGCCTGGAGCCTGCTTAAGGAATAAAATATATAGCCAGAGAGTCTCAAAAATTATGATGTATGCGCAATAAATAATCCCAAATAAATAAATTATCACCCAGAAGTTTCACTGGAAAGGTGAAACCTTGGCCGAGTGGCGCAACTAATAAATGCCCGGAGTTTCTTATGGGTTCCTGGATGGAAATCACATTCCTATGAGTAGTCCCCTTTGATTTGTTGTTTCCCTGGCGGTTTTACACATTTACAAGGGTGCTAATGTTAGTTTTTTCTCCGGTTGTGTGTGTGTCGTCGGTCCTGTTCCTTTGGCAATCCTTTGACTGGGCTATAAATCAAGGCTTGATTTGGCGCCACGCATGTGTCCACAGGCACGGCCTTTGTCTATTTGCCTAGCACACGGCACATCCCTTTGTTTTAATGCGCCAAATATACTCGTACTCGTCCTTGCCGTCGTTGACTCCTGCTGCCCCTTTCCTGCCAACTCACATTTTTTAGAGGTTTTCGCCTTTTTGCGTTTTGTTTTAGCTTTTGGGGTTAACCCTTTTAACCCTTGGCAACTGACTGCCTCTCCGGTTAACCACGGACAGCGTTAGCCTGACATTTTTCCAGGCAGGACATATTGCCCCGACACTGAGGTCAACCTTTTTCGTGTTCATTGGCTTTGCCACTGGCCGGCTGAATGGGAATCCGAAATCCGCAGTGCCCTGACAGGACCTTGGCTGGCACATTGCAATTGTTAGGTTCTATACCTTTTTTGGGGAACAACTATACAAATTTAATTTAATTTAAAAAGTGTTTTGTCGAGTAGATAGTTGGCAATTTATGAAAAAGTCTTGGAACTCGAAGAATCACTTGATTTTTGTATTAATGAGTTTTGGGGATGTTCTTTTCGATTTCTGTTTGAGATGTTTCGTTCGTCATGATGTACAAAAAATTGGGCTGGGTGAGTCGTACTTCAAATATGTAATATACCCAAAAATCTTTTTTTTTCAATTCCGAAACTGAGATTTGATGGCTTTGTCACTCGGCATTTTTGGAGCTGATATGCACAAAACCCAATGAAATCATAAGAAAATTGTACAACCTTTCGGGTCTATAGAACGAACAAACCTGAAGATTTACCGACCCAAAGCTAAAGTTCTAAAGTTCCTTTTTTAATGTTTCTTCAACTATGACATTTAAACAAATTTTTGTTGTATTGTATAGGCCGTTTTTAGATAGCACATCTGTAGTTGCAGTAATTCTCAAAAAAATTAGCTACCAATCCACAAAATGGTCCAAAGAATTTCATACCTTCATAGATCTGTTGTAAGTAATGTTATTGTAAGTGCCATAAAAATTGTTCCTACAAAATGATTTCCTATAGCCGAAAGCTTCAGAGCCCTGCAACAGTGGGCGTTCCGCTATATCTATATCCATATCTATATATCTATCGGGCGTATTTTGATCTCAATAAATTTTTGTTTCATAGGAAAAGATAGAAACAAGGCACCCTCTTGGCTTGACCTCGTCCCGCTCATTTCTAGAAGGTGCAGTAGGGTCAGGGGCACGGGAGACTGAGTGAGAGGGAAAGACGTAGAGGAGTTGTAGAGGTGTGTGGCAGGGGCAGCATTTTGCCGTTACTGTCTTTGTCGCAATGTCGTAAATAAAGTCG